TTTTTTATACAATTATACATATATATATATATATATATATATATATATATATATATATATCTTCAAATCAGAATCACTTGTGTCTACGCGAGTTTTCCACATTGAAAGGGTCAGTGTCAGGGTTGTGCCTCTGCTGCAGATGTTGCAGCACATGCTCGTGCGCTGATGGAGACGTGTGTGCGGGGGTCATATATATTATATCTTATGATACATATATATGTATCATATATATATATATGATATTTCCCATATTATTTGTGATGGCTCTAACTAAACTTTAAAAGTGTTTCTTCAGTCCTCACACACTCTGCCCGGAATGCATTCACTGTGAATGTCAATTAAGCGCAATTATCCCACGCTCGCAAGGATGGCACACTTCTACTGTTTTGGGCCCCCCTCCCGCCCTGAGAGAGTTTTGGGTAATAAATGGATAGATAGTGTGGGAAACCCAGGCTGGATCCTGCTCACACGTTCTTGAGTCAATAGATCGAGCCCCTCCTCTGTCCCTCCACAAACAGCCTTTGAACCTGCTCAGATCAGACGCGTGTGTGTTCTCACCGCTCGCTCACATCACCTGCTCCTCTGCCTCAAGTCTACACTGCCCCCCACCCCCCGCACACACGTCTCCATCAGCGCACGAGCATGTGCTGCAACATCTGCAAAAATAATTAAATAATAGAAATGACACAATATCGGAAAAAGAAGAGATAAATAAAATACAATAAAAATGTAATAAACAATTTGAAATTAAATAAAACAGAAAATGATTGCATGAAATATATATATATATATATATATATATATATATAATAGATACATAAAAATTAAACAACATAAATGACACATTTTCATAATATTAATTATTATTCTAAAAAGAAAGGGTAAATTAATAAAATACAATTATAAAATGTAATAAAAATGTGAAATTAAATCAAATGTAAATATCCTTCTCTTTTGGAAAATGATTGCAGGAAATATATAAAAAAGTAGCCTATATAAATAAAATACATATACAATAAAAATTACGTTTTCATAATAATTACTGTAAAAAAAAAGATAAATTAACAAAATACAATGATAAAACTGAATACAAATATGACCAAATAAAATGTAAAAATCCTTGTCTTTTGGAAAATGATTGCTCTATTTATATTTATTGTAAAGTAAAAGAAATAATAAATATATTGATCAAAATGGCAAATGTTCAACAAATTAAATTACTGTAATACAATTAAATCAATAAAATACAATGATAAAATTAATAAAATATTTTTTTAAATAAAAAATTTAATTAAATGTAAAAAAAAATCCTAAAATGAATGTTCTATTTTTATAAATAAAATAATGCTAAAATAAATCACATATCACAGGTGCCGCTGAATTTACCCTCTCTATTATTGAATATTTTCCTTAATGTTGTGCTTGAATTTAACTTTAATTTTAACTTCATGTTATTTCACATATTCCGCTTCTAATAAACCAATACAGAAATATTTTCTCTGTGCTCAGATCATCAACACTGGTCACCCAATGCCAGATGTTTTTTTGGAGGGAAACCTGCTCTATTTTCTTCAGTTTCTTTCTTCCTTCTTTAAGACTCCTGTTTCCAAACAGTGACTCATTCTGACAGAAGACACTGATAGTTTAATGACTAGGCTGCATTCCACCATAGAGCTTCTCATCGTACGGAGGAATAAAGGCTCTCTCTCTCTCTCTCTCTGTGCGTGTGGTGTTGTGGCAGTGTGTCCAGCTGCAGGTCCCTCCAGTGAGGAATGTGTGAGAGCTCTGGTCTGTGTCTGCTTCCCACACTTCGGCCCATTGAGAGCCGCCCCACCCTGCTGCCGCTGATCCAGCACGCCTCATTATTCCCGCTCTCAATAGACCATCTGGTCCTCTGCTCGTGCACACAAAGCTCCCCGCTCTCCCACAGGCACCTCAAAGCTGCAGGTACGCTTTCACTCCTGAGGAGAGATTGATCTGCACACAATCCCACCAACACAAACAAACATGGAGGCATGTGTGCAAAACACATTTCTGCATGCCTATCTATCTATCTATCTATCTATCTATCTATCTGTCTGTCTGTCTGTCTATCTATCTATCTATCTATCTATCTATCTATCTGTCTGTCTGTCTGTCTGTCTATCTATCTATCTATCTATCTATCTATCTATCTATCTATCTATCTATCTATCTATCTATCTATCTATCTATCTATCTATCTATCTATCATTTAATAATATATAATTAACCAGAATTATATGTACATATTTAATCATTTTTAATTGAACAATTAATTAAAAATGCATTTATAATAGTTTTTAATCAATAGGATATTTTTTTACACAAATATGTATATATTTTCATGTAATAAACATATTTAAATGTATTATTTTAATGCATATGATTTTCTTTTTAATTTCAGTTTTTAATAAATTGTTAATAAAAAATAAAATAATAACTATTTTTGTTTATTTAATATAAAACTGTTTAAATTAATTTGTTTTAATACATATATTTTACTAAATATTTAAACAATGATAATAAATATTTTATTTATAATATTTTTATTCATTAAAACAGTTCATTTTATTAAAAAAAATGCATATATATACATATACATGTTTGTATCTGTTCAAACATTTTTTTAATATACATTATTTTTTTACATTTGAAGTTTGTTTTAATCAATTGAACATTTTTAATAAATATTCAAATGATAATAATTATTATTTTCATTTATTTAATATTTTTATTGATTAAAATATGAAAACTTTAAAAATGTCCAAATTATAATTATTTTTTAATACACATACATGTTTGCAATAGTTTTTAAATATACTGAACATTTTTAAATTGGCAATAAATATTGATATTTTCATGTATTAAAACTGTTCAAATTAATTATTTTAATATATATGTTTTCTAATAAATGAAAAAAATTTAATAAATATATATAAAAAAACATTTAAATTATCCAAAACTGTTCAAATTATAAATTATATACTATTATATATTTAATTTAGTAAAAAAATAATCATTTGAACTGTGTGTTGCTGTTCCAAAGATGAGACCACAATTCAACAATTGTTTTCCTGCAGAAAAAAAGGGCTGCTTTCCTGTTTTTCCCTCCGTTTTAGTTTTAATGACCACAAACACTCTGGCAAGACTTAAGGGGTTTCAATGGGCAGAAGGTATTGGATAATGTCACCGTTTGGTGCTCTAACTGCCTCTTTTCATGCGTCTGTGCTGTGAATGCCAGAGCATGTGATGCTGGAATGTCATTGAGCTTCTCTCACATCAAGACCCCAATTCCTCTCCGGCGAGCAGAGGTCAGGGGCTTCCCAGCTCCCCATTTTTATGAAGAGACGGACACTTCACACTGGGCACACCGCGCTGAGCATCTGCTTCCCTCCCTGTCTGTCTGTCTGTGTGTGTGTGTGTGTGTGTGTGTGAGAGAGAATGAGAAGAGTGTTGGACAAGGGGGCGCCCACATTCAAAGACCCTTTTGCAGAGCAGGATGGAATGTATTGTGGCTTTACCAGTCAATTTTGGCGGGAGATGGGAATTGGTGTGGGAACGGAATTTGGGGTTAACTAAACCAAAGCACCTCCTCACAGACACAGAGAACAAGAGATGCACTTATTCATAGATCAGTCACTGCAATGAAGAAGAATATTTTGCATTTCTCACACTCTTAAAAGATAAAGGTTCGTTATTGGCATTGATGGATCCAAGAATAACCTTTAACATCTATAGAACCTTTCCACTGGACGAAAGGTTCTTTATAGTGGAAAAAGGTTCTTTTGGATTATTAAAATGTTCTTTACACTTACTGTTCACTAAAATGTTCTTTGGGGAACCAAAAATTCTTCCATGGCATTAATGCAAAACCTTTATTTTTAAGAGTTCCATTTTAGGTTTTTTATAGTAGAAAAAACGGTTCTTTAGATCATGAATGGTTCTTTGGGAAACCAAAAGTACTTCTTTTACAGTCTTAACTATTTTCCCTCCATTGCTTTTGACACCATTTTTGATAATTATCACAACATTTTCATGGCCCCCCAGAATATTTTGTTGTATGGTTATGTTGTATGAATTTTGATTTATATCCTGTTGAATGTTTGATGATCGCGTTATGTTACATATGCATCTGCTTACAATCGTTGTTTCTGCTTCTTCTTTGGAGTTTTCTGATCCAGGGATTCAGTACTCTTTCAGAAGATGTGTAATAGTGCCTCCTACCATATAACAGTAAAAACACGGAAAGCCAGAACATTCTATCAATGGCGGGAAAGAGTCAAAAAAGCGTGTTTTTGAAGTGATGCCATTGAACCAGATTTTGTTCCGCAAAGAACCTTTCAGTCAACATTTCTTAAAAGAACCATTATTTTCTTGGAGTGAAGAACATTTGAATGATCTAAAGAACCTTTTCGCTATAAAGAACCTTTCGTGGAATGGAAAGATTCCATGGATGTTAAAAGTTCTTCATGGAACCATAAATACAAAGAGCCTTTATTTTATAAAGAACCTTTATTTTTTATGCCATCACTGCACATCTTTAAGTGTGCAGCAAACCAACTTAAGTTAGTATTTTGCAATATTGTTATTTTAATGGGCATTTAATCGGTGTAAAACATACGTGCAGTAAGTACATCAACAGACTGCATGGCCACTAATTGCTTTATAATAACATTATAGTAACCCGAAGCAATTTACAACTGCATAAGTGAGCCAAGTGAACTGAGCATGAACTGAGCATGTGAAAAGCTCGACAAAACGCCTGTCAGCGCTGGGCTTTGCTGACCACACTTTCCCGCGCACAGGAGCCAGCTGCGCCTTTGAGCTCTTCAAAGTCTAATCCTGGAGCCCATGTTGTCCCAACTTTCCCACAGCAGCTCTTCAATGGGGCCCAATAGAAGTGTGCCGCAGTCCCCAGCGCATTAGTAATGGGCTCTCATTGAGGCAACCAGTCCCCCTGGGGTATATTGAGGAATGAT